GGACGGTAGGCCCTCAGGCTATTTCTAACTTTGCTATTTTTCGCTCACAAATCGCTCACAAAAAGTCTCTCCACCCATTCAATTTATATAGCGCAAATCTAAAAGTTCATAATAACCTCTTTATGCAACATTCAAATTCAAACTTACAAATTTTAATAAAATTCCATATCCTTCATGAATGCAACAGTAACTTGATTATACGAATTTAACATTTTGATCGCTGTAAAAATCGTGAAAGGCTTTAGCCAAAATACAACATTGTTTTGTTTACATTTAACCGGAAGTGCTTGTCTTTCTTTGGTAGGAAAGTAATAAAAAAAAAAAAAAAAAAAAAAAAAAAAAAAAAAAAAAAAAAAAAAAATAAAAAAAAAAAAAAAAAAAAAAAAAAAAAAAAAAAAAAAAAAAAAAAAAAAAAAAAAAAAAAAAAAAAAAAAAAAAAAAAAAAAAAAAAAAAAAAACATTTTAAAAAAAAAAAAAAAAAAAAAAAAAAAAAAAAAAAAAAAAAAAAAAAAAAAAAAAAAAAAAAAAAAAAAAAAATTACTTTGTTTTAAATTCCAGATTTTCCGCGGCTTATCATAATCAGAAGTTACAATTCTAGTTCACAGAACACTTGGGTTTGGGGCTCAAAACGCAAATCCAAATCCAAAAATAAAATCCAAATAAAATGCATATTTGACAATCCCAGCCACATGGTACTGTAAGAATAAACCAAAATAACAATTAGAATCATACATTGTTGTCTGGTCGGTGACTTCGTTAAGTAATATTTGTCCCTGCTCTGGCCCTTAAAGTGATATATCTTACTTTATCTTATTGCGTGGGTTGCTGCGCGTGTTCGCTCAGATATATCTTGCATCATCCTTCCTCAGCGTTTGTGTCATGTTTATATATAATAGCTTAATATAAAGCCGTTTTGAAAAAAATTCATATTTCAACATCTATAAATGTTTTATTTGGATTTTAAAGGCGTTTTGAGCGCCAAACCCCCAAGTGTCTGTGATCTAGTTTAGAGGATTGATTTGTTTCAAGGTTATTTCTATATTAGAAAATCTATCTTTAAGTTGGCTAAATTGTTTTTGTTCTGCCTTTATCTTTTCAATGTTTGCAAACTATTTGTGTTTTTCTCTGACCTTCCAGTCATTTCTTCTTAGAAAGATACCTTTAATTCTTTTGTCAATATGATCATAAAATTTTGCCTTTTCAGATTTAAGATTTTCCTAATTAACTAGACATGTGCTATAGTACAAGGATGCCCCTACTTCACTTGCCTGTAAAAGTGCCATTTATACAAGTATTATTGGTCAATAATTGTACATTTAACGTCATTGTGATCCTGATTTTTGATCCAATGGCCTCGAAATTATTAGGTGTCATCTACTGATCAGGTGCAATGATCTTGATAGGTTATAAATACCATAGCTTATTCATTCTAAATTATTCATCAGACAAGGATTTTACATTACATGAAGTGTCATGGTTACCTTGACCCTTGACCTAAAACATCCTTATAGGCTATCTACTGTCCATGGCCACGATTAGTATCTCGTGGCCACAACATAGTATCTCGTTCCCAAGACTTAACTATCTACCTACTTACGACATAGTATCTCGTGGCCACGACTTAGCCCTCTCGTGGCTTCGACTTAGTAACTCGTGGCCACGACATAGTATCTCGTGCGCACGAGATAAATAAAAACACACACATGTCACCTTTGTGCCACCGTAATATTCGTATTTAAATCAATTTGTTTACCAGATTCCTAATTTTAGAGTTGATTTCATGCTCATTTTTAAGATATTTTTTCCGATTTCTAGTTTAATTCATTGCATTCTCCCCACAATAATTTCTGATATTATACAAATTAAAAGACGTATTAATAAACAAGAGGGTCATGGTGGCCTTGAAATCGCTCACCTGAATATAGAAACTCTCCATGACAAGGAACAAGTAATATTGTAAACTATATACTAAAGTAGATATAAAATCTAATTCTTAAACTGATATCACAAAGTTCATATTTGTATGTGTAAAAACATTACTGGTTGCTATTGCTAAGGAAAAACAACAGTTCCAAAAGATGTGTACATATATGGAAAATCAATGATCCCACGGGGTCGGGCCTATTTAGACCCCAGTGCTTTTATTTGAACAAACTTGGTACACACTTACTATAAGATGGTTCATGCTAAATATCTAAGCTCTAGCTCTTTTGATTTTTAAAAGAAGATTTTTTGAGTTTTTTCTTTCGGTTGCCAAAGCAACCAGAGTTCTGCATGGAATTAAACTCTTTGAACAATTTTTAAAAGTATGACTACCTAAGGAACATTCCTGTAAAGTTTGGATGAAATTGGCTTAGCGGTTTATGAGGGGTTATCGTGAACAGTAAAAGTTAAGGGACAGACGACGGACGGACGGGCGCCGGACAAATTGTGACCACAAAGCTCACCTTGTCACTTTGTGACAGGTGAGCTAAAAACCGACTCCTAAGTTGTAAAGCAGCTAAGTACTATTTCCGCGTAACCTCTTACCTCTTATAGACTTGTTTTGACGGCTTTTTGCCCCCCCACCTCATCTTTGAGGCCTCAATCAGTGAAAAAAACAACACTATTTAGGCCCAAACACTTTTTCGCTTGAGAAATGTTGTTTTAAAAAGTGATCACTTTTCGGCGCCGTCCCCATCAAAATGATACATCAAGAAGTTGCCATAAGAGGGATGTGCCACCATCTGTTTGGGGGGTTGAAGGGGGTGGCAGGCCCCATCATCGCCAAGAAAATTTTGGACATGTGACGGGCTAAAAATGGCCTCAGGTCGATTTTAAGGTAACGTGTAAGCAACGCTGAAATGCCTTTTACTCTATCTCAATCCATTGAGAAGTTGCAGCACTTTAAAATCAGTTTTGATGGGGGGAAAAGCAATGCAAAATAGTAATTTTTCGCAATTTTGAGACGTCCCTCGTTGCCATGGTAACAGGAAATTTAAGATTGAGCCTGCTGTTACAGAGGCTATGGTTCAGTCAATATTTGTGCCAAGTTTCATCAGTATTGAAACATTTTTCATAGTTTCATAGCAGTTTGAACTTGTAACAGGAGGCTTTTCAATGAAAACGGCCATTTTTCACAATATGCTCATGCGGTAAAAGATAAAGTTAGATTTTCCTTTCCGCTTGGACGACCAATTGTCTGTATAATCAATGTTTAAATTATAATGTTTTTCTTGCAATAACGCTATTGAAAACTTCTGTTGGTAAACACAGCAAGAGTCTACAAATAGAAGACCATAGCCAACACAGAACTCGGTCATGTTTGTTTTAAAAAAAAGTATTCAAATTACAGTCATTTGGTCAAAATTAGCCCCGCCTCTGGGGATTATTGATTTTCCTTCTTTGCATATAGTAAAGACACAAAAAACTCTGCTTTTATACTCTTAGATATTTGGTTTGATACATTGTCTGGTGGACCTCTATAATTTTTTATGATATTATCTATATGTCCTCTACCAAAGTTGTTCAAAAGTTTCCTCTAGTGTCAAAATTGGCCCCATCCCGGGATGATAAGTTTTTCTTAAATGTGTATAGTAAAAACTTTAAAAAAATTTCGTCTCCCAAATGACAAAGACTAGAGGTTAGATATTTGGCCTCAAATGTTGTGCATCTTTATCAAAAATAGTTTTTCCTTCTCATGAGAGATAGGAAACTCGATAACGCTTTTGCTAGAATACTAGATTAGACGACGGTTTATTGTATAAGATTTAACAAATATCTTAAAACATAAATTTTTATTAACATATCATATTTTAAACACTTTTAAAAGAAGTTAGCTTTATTTTATGATTTTCAGTGGATTATTGATTTATCCGTGAAAATTATATTTGATAATTTCACAGTGAAAATTATCAAAATATAATTTCACTTTTTTCAATGACGAAACTACTTTTTCAAGATTTTCCCCATGTGGTACCTCAATTTTATTTTTACTGACAATTCTGACAATATCGGGCTGTTAAAAAAATAGCAAAGCTGAAAAAGATAAATAACTTAAAGTTCAAAAGTAATAAAGAGAGAAAACTTACTTCTATTCCTTCAAATTCCAATCACAAAAAAATTTCGTCTCTAAATTTTTTGTTTCGTTTTTACAGTCTGAAAAACACATTCCTTCCCCATGCTAAACTGCTCTTGATGACATTTGGGCATATTAAAGTATCCTACGAGCAATAACTGCCGTATGCTTAATGAAAATTGAAAAGCATTGACAGCCATCACTCGTAAAATACGTAAAACAAACCCAGCGTTCCTTACAATGCCTTAGCAATCTTCCAAGTTTTCCATTTTCCTAGCTCCTTTTCTGAATGTTTTCACTTCTGTCAACACGTATTTTTTGTCTGTTACAATCCTCAAATAAGTTTTCCTTTCTTTTAAACAGGTGTATGATTAACAAATCCAAATTATATCCTTCTGAATCTTACACAATTATTTTCCTCCCATGAAATACACAACTTTAAAAAATGGCTGCCGCTTACATTTTACAAAGCCAGGTCTAATATAAATTCGCAGTAAGTAACAGAAATATGGATGGATGGTTGGACTTTTTCTCCTACAAGAATTGTTTGTTTTTATTATTAAAACAAGCGATCATTCATATTTTTTTAATAAAGTTAATAAATATCACCGTCATTTAACCTTGATTGGCGGACTTATTTTTCAGCTCAAGACTTCTTGTTTTTAATGAGAAATTCCCTCTAAATGGGGCTCTCAATGGGGGAAACAGATTTTAATATTAACGTTAAAATTATGGAAATTTCGTTTTAACTTGTTTTAAAGCATAAAATAAAAAGAAAATTTGTCTGTTTGTTGTGTAAGATGAAATTTTATTTCATCTCGTGAACTTTAAAAACAGTATTCTCACTCGTGGCTACGCCACTCGTGAGAATACTGTTTTTAAAGCCCACTTGATGAAATAAAATTTCATCTTACACACAAACAACAAATATCCTCTATATAGGTTGTAAAAAGGTACAAGTACACTGTTAAAATATATGAAATTGTAGAAGTATTAGCTTTAAAAGTTTAAACCGTTAGTTAATAGATATATACACTTGACTTTACATAGGATCTAGGTTGAAAATATGCCACTGTAACAGACAGACGGACAGACAGACAAACAACTTTATTTTCACACAAGGTATTTAGGATACAACATGATATATGCAAATAACACAAATTAAGCAATATATTGTTCCGGTAGATATCTGAAAAGGACAAAAAGGAGGAAGAAAAGAAAATCGTCATTTATGCATTCAGTATCGTATATCATGGGGAAATTCACTGCATAAATACAACTTCATATCCGCATGCCTACATTACAGTAAGGAAATATGTACAAGGAATGTTATATTATTCAATGTTATTTCATATGGACTTACATTTAATATGTAACATTTCTCACTGGCTTCATTTTTGTCATAACGCTTCCCTAGGTTTAATAAATGTAAGCCAATACGAAATAACAACATTTGTAAAAGCCTATATACATGTATATCATCACTAAATTTAAAAGTAAGCATTCAGTATATCAAAATGAGAATGTAATTATTTACAACTTCTCTTTTTGAGCACTCTAATTCTTTCATTTTTCTTCTTTTTTTATTATCAAATCCAACAATGATGAACAGACATTCTCCCATGTAGTCTTCAGTGTGTATTGCTGGTTTTCAAGAGCCCACAGTACTCTGACATTACTTTTGAAGAGGCATTTCATCAAAGGTGTCATTAGTGATTCGTCAATCGTTCCTTTAATGAAAAGTACGATTGGTTTTTGAAGACGGTAAGCCATATCTAGTTCATTCTGACAGTATAGACTTAAGTTAAAGTCATTTGATACAACTACAATGAAAGCCGATGCTCTTTCCATACACAATGCTATTTCGTCCGTAATCCCGAAACCTGGTCTCAGATATAGGTCACCTGTACAAATCAAATTTCTGTTTACACCAATCATTTGTTGGAGAGTTTCATTGAAGTGAGCAATTAAATAGTTATCCACAAAATCTTTGTCCTCACTGCTGTACGAAACAAATGCAACAAATTCGTTCTGACCTTTACCTTCTTGAAGCCTTTTCAATAATTCTCCTCTCTTCATTCTTTTAGTAGCTCGTTTACGACGTTTGTACACAACCATAATGACTATAAAAACAATAATTAAAGTAAATCCCGCAGATACAGTGGTTGAAATGATTATGATCTTCCGTTTACAAATGTTGTTGACATCATCTAATGTGTGTTCATCTATTTCTTTCCTAGTATTCTTAAATGCAGCACAAGTAAGATTTGTAGCGGAAATAATCGCAGATTTTGTATGTGTTAACCAATAGATAAATTGTTTTGCTTCGCATTTTGAACATGCTATAGGGTTATTCCCAAGATCCAAAGTCCATGTTTTGTTTCCTGGTGTACTGAGTCCACTGCTAAGGTAATTGATGGAAAGGGAGTTCAAAATTTTGATCCTGTTAAATTGAAGATTAAGAACCTTCAGTTTGTACAGATATTCTAATGTGAAGGTCACTTGCTCTAGTTCATTATGAGAAAAGTCTAGCAGTTCAAGGTCACGATTTTCAGAGAACAGTTTTTCAGGTATAACTTCAAGTCGATTAAATGATAAGTTTAAAATCTTTAGACGAGAAAGTGATAGGAACAGTTGCTGAAACAACGGATGATTTTCTTTTGCCATTTTATATAACTTGTTGATTGACAAGTCAAGTTTTACAAGGTTGGGGAAACATCCAAATGTACTTGGATGTAGGAATTCCATTTGATTTCCAGCTGCATTTATGTGTTTTATTGTAACAGCTTTATGACTCAAACAATCCACCCTAAGATCTAAATATTTAACATTGTTTTCCATTACTATCACTTCTTCACTCTTCCATTGAAATGGCTCATCAACTTTGTATGTGCAGTTTACAAAACGAACTGACTCATGATCAGGAAAATTGGAACTCATATTGACTATTTTAGGATACAAAAGAGAATTCCATTTTTTATTACTTTCGGAATATTTCCATGTCTTGTTGGCAAATTTTATGGTTGGAATTAACCAAGATACATGACTCATATCAATAATATTGATATTCTCCAACTTTTTATCACCTAATATCACGTTTGTTGATGGAGAATAAGATATATTCACATTTTTAAGTCCTTCTATGTATTGCAAACCAGCGGTTGTGTTTATACCTGTTATTTTTGTATGACTAAAATCTAAAGATGTTATTTGTTTATCACCGAGTGCCTCGGCAAATTTTGTGTCAAAATAGATTCCGCCATTGTAGGTATTTAATTTTGATGCTTTTAAAAATTTCAAGTTCGGAAGTTTATTTGACCCTGTTAAACTTGGCACAAGTTCAGGTATATCTAAATGAACGCATTCACTCAAGTCTAAGAATTCTAGATTGTCAATTCCTACAAAAACATTTGTGTCTAGTTGAATCTGTGTATGTAGATTGATATGTAACTCTCGGAGTGATTTTAATCCGATAAAACACTCCTCCATAAAAATGATCGTTGACGTTTGGTCCTGTTCAAGTTCCTGTAACTGAAGTTCAGTTACATTTTCCCAGTCTTTAGATATAAAGTTTGAACTATTAAATTCAAAACTTTTGTTTTCCCCCAAAAAATCTATTATTCTAACACATGTGAATCCATTTGGAATACACTTTGGAATATCATTACATTCTTTACATTGATGGTTTAAAGCACTTATAGTTGACCAGAAAATAAGTAGTATTAAAATGTTAAATGAGCAATCCATTTTTTTTTCACAAGATCTTAACAATTACATTCGATGGTCTTCTTGAAGAGGAAGTTGAGTGATAACTGTAGATCTCATCCAGAATATTTCACATTAAAACACAGATAAACAAGGAAGCGACATTCAATAATGACGTATAAACTCGCGCTAAATTTGATATGCCCAAACGAGAATGTATTAACATACAATGCGTATGTAATTATATTATTTGCAATGAATGTGCAGGCAGGGCTGCGTGGTAGATATAGTCTGATTTTAATGACCTGTCAATTATGAATACATTACACCACTCATTTAAATATTCGGTCACACTTCGGTTCTGTCCGTGTAGTTTACGGGAATTAAAAAAAGTCACACAAGCTTAATGTATAGGTCGTAGTCACATCTGCAATGGCACAGTCGGTTAAGTGATTGCTTAATATATGAGAGGTCTGCGACTCGATCCATACAGACCCTACTGTAAAGTTCTATTGTTTTGAAACCTACTCATTCTTTATATTGCACTATATTGTAATGGGAATATTTCCTGCAGATGTTTATCCTTAAACTCTTTATTTTAGTGTTACAACTCAAAAGGAAATAAATTATTTATCCTTTAGTCCAATAAAAACTAAGAAAGTAAAACACAAACTCGTACATTTACATTGCATTTATTCTATAACATTCTATATTCAAATATAGGTATTAATTTAGAAACATAATAAATAACATTCGTTTAAATTTACTCTGATATATTCCAATACATAACTATCAAAATGAATCTGAAAAAGCTCCTAATACGAAATTCGGTGACAAGTATTTTTACCTATAATAAGTTTTATTTATTCGAACTGATAAATAAGCCGCGTCACGACAAAACCAACATAATGGGTTTGGGACCAGCATGGATCCAGACCAGCCTGCGCATCTGCGCAGTCTGATCAGGATCCATGCTGTTCGCTTACAAAACCTGTAACCAGTAGAGAAACTGATAGCGAACAGCATGGATCCTGATCAGACTGCGCGGATGCGCAGGCTGGTCTGGATCCATGCTGGTCGCAAACCCATTATGTTGGTTTTGTCGTGACACGGCTCAAATGAGTATGAAATAGAGAGAATAAGAATCCCCAAAGAAAGCCCAACACGGCAAAATTGAAAATGTTGCAGGCTCGGTTTGATTAAGCCTGTTCATGGACGGTACTGGAAAGTGCAAACTACCGTCCACGCCCCCTAGCCCCGGCTTAAGCAGAATTCAACATTTAACATGTACTGGTACATTTTTTAATTTTGAAACATCCGCAGATGTGTTCATATGGCGGTTAACATGGAACCTTCAATGTGACACGTAAGTGCCATTCCATGACAAACTAAGTAATTCAAAAATGTTTCGTATAAAAACTTAAAGAAAAATCAATATGATCGGGCGTGGAGGGAGGGGGCCGCAGGGGTCAAACTTAAAAACCTGATTGACTATGCATTGCAATGTGAAGACCTCGAATGATAAACTATAGCGATCTGCTAATTTATATATCAACACAGTACGTAAACTTCGTGCAAATAACAACATGTACAGCTCGATTCGCTTTTCCTTACATCAATATTGACAAAAAGGGGTGTCGAGCTAAAAATGATTTTTTTTTCACTTCAAACGGTCTTTAGTTTTAGTCTGTGATAAATACATGAAATAGAATACTAAATTCGTGTAAGTTCATTACTGAATTTATTGAAATTGTTGAGAAAAAAAATTATGCTGACATCATTTGTGTTATATATAAACATAGGACTTTCTAAAATTACACATTAAAATTTGCGAAAAATTCTATATACTAACAGAAATATGTTTGTTTTAAACTTAATGTTGTATTTCGTAACTTAATGAAAAACAGTGTCTATAAAAAACAAGTTAAATAACTGTGTCCTTAAATTATCAAACAAACGTTACAATTAGAAGGGGAATCGTATGTAGAAAAGACAATGTAACAATGAAAGCAGTGTATTCTGAAACTGTATATTTGATATAACAATTAATTTATATATTGGCATCTGCCTATGGCATTTAATAAGAAGTAACAAAGGTTTAAAAAAGACACAAGCATGTACAAAACACAATAAAACAAAAAGCAGATTATGTACACAGGACTTTTTGTCCTTCTATAGGCCATTTAAGGATAGCTACCCCAAAGAAAAATTCTTTAAAATCATGCAGTTACCCTAGCTGCCCCCCCCCAAAAAAAATAAGGACAGGGTTCCTTCCACAACATGTGAAAGAAGGCCCTGGTACATTTATACTGCTACAATTTGATTGAAACGCTCTACCCACTTTCATACAATCATTTTCAAACATCAATTCATAAAGCTGCATGCCTCCAGATGAGGAAAACTACATTGTATTTCAAGAAAAGCAAAAATATTCACAATTCAAAAAATAATTTATAAGTTATATAGCAATAAATGGCAGATTTTTCTGTAACTATGACCATAATTCTACTACAAGACTTGCATAGTACAGACTATTTTTGCAAAAATCTTACCTACACGTATTTTTGTAATTTTCATAGATTTGAAATGCTGTTTGCAATGTGTAAATCAATTTCTTTGATTACTAGAAAAATTTTTACTTTTTAATATATTTTTTAAAAAAATATGAAAATTAGCATGAATCTGGAGGCATGCCACTTTAATACTTGAACAGAAATATCAAAATATGACTATACCACATTGACATTGACTAGTATTATAAAAATGTGGCTAAAATATAGCAGAAAGACTTCTAAACATTTGCTAGCAATATACTGTATAGTTTTTTTTCTACTAAACTAAAGACATATTTTTTAAGTGGCAGCATGGCTGAGTGATTAATATATCAGACTAGTAACCTAAGGATCGCTTCCCAAGCGGGTTAAAAGCTGTCAAGAACTAGCTGTAATGTTTCATTGAACAAGAAAAATAACACTTGTTGCTCAGTACTGGTTAGTTTCAGGAATTGAGTGTGTCAAATCACGCTTATAGCTTCCTACATGTACAGTGTGTACACAAGTGAACTAAAATTAAATATGAATAACCTAAAGAACACATTTACATCACAAACAAAAAATCTTAATAACAACAAATTAAAAACATGACCTGATTATGCTCATAGCACATTTTTTTCAGTGCTGAAAATATAATTAAAGAGAAGCAGGGAAGGAGAATTATTTCTGTTTGTTTGTTTGTTTGTTTGTTTGGTTTAACAGTGCATCAACATAATTTTGATAATAATATATGGTACCAAAACAGGAGATATGTTTTTTGCTAACTTCTGGTGATTATCGTTACAAATTTAAGCAACACAAGGAGTAAAAAAACACTTCACCTTCTGGAACTTAAAGATGCATAGACATCAGTAAGACGAACCAATTTAGTAGCCTCTTACTATCACGCAGGGGTAAATGGTGGCTGCATTTCTGATGACTCAACACTTAAAGGCAACAGCCACAAAGGTGGAAAGGGGAAATAGACATACATGTTATTGAGAAAAATAACTTTTAGGGTTATCCTCTCTTTTGAAATGCATTTCAGTTTCTATTCTAGGATTCGAAAAACAGGGGGGATTTTTATCGAAAAGCGAGAATTTATTACATTTGATGATCTTTTTCCTTCTTTCTCTATGTAAAATTTTCCCACTGCCTCTGAAAAATGGGGGGGGGGGAATTATCAAAAATGTGAGTGAATCTCCCAATCCCCCCTCCTAGAATAGACACTGTGACCATGTCTGAATTAAACATTTTGATATTTTTAAAGAAACAAAAATTAAAAAAATAATTGGCAAATAAATACTTTTAAAGGGGGCACAACTTAAAAATTTTATTGCGGACTGCACTTTTAACGAAATTTTTAAGGAATTACTAAAAAAAGTTTTATTTTTTTGGAAAAACCCTTTAAAAAAGTTCCCGAAAAAAAACTTAGAAACTTTTTTTTATTTATAAAAAGGAAAGTTAAAAACAAGTTTTTGGTTTAATTTTTTTCGAATTCCTATCCAAAAAAAAAAAACAAATTTCCGAATAATGGTTCAAAAAATATAAAAAAAAAAGGGAAAAAATCATTTCAAATTTCAGGGGTCTTTTGTTATAAACGCAAACAGTTTAAAAAAAGGGGGGGGGGGAAATTTCTTTTTTTAAAAAAAAGGGGGAAAAACCCCAAATCAAAAAAGGGTTGAAAATTATTTTTAACGACGGGCAAAAACTTTCTTTTAAAATTTGCGTTTTTTTTCTAAAGAACAGTTGCCCTTTTTTTTCCCTTTTAAATTTAAATTTTTTTATAAAAATTTTTTTTTAATTTTTCCCCCCAAAAATTTTAATTTAAAATTTTTTTAAAAAAATTTTATTTTTGCTAAAAACCCCCAAATTTTTTGTTTAAGATTTGCAATTGGAAAAAAAAAGGGGAATAAAAATTTTTTTTAAAAATTTGGAAATAGTTTTTCCATCCTATTTTTACCCCCATTTAGTAACACAAAAATTTTTTAACTTCAAAGGAAAATTTTTTTATTCCCCTTTTTTTCACGTTTTTTACACGTGTATATTTTCCCGTTTTTAAACCTTAATTAAATGGTTATATTACGGAATAAAAAAATTGACCCCCCTTTTTCGATAATTTTAATTTTTATTTTTGTTAAACCCATAAAAAATTAAAAAAGAAGTAAAAAGAATTTTAAAAAAAAATGAAAAAAAATTTGAAGGTTGTTTTTTTAACTGGAAAAAAAAAAAATTTTATCAAAAAAATTTAAAGTTTTTTTTTTTTAAAATTTTTTTTGGTTTTTTTTATTTTACGGGGCCCTTTTAATTTTTAAAAAAAATTTTAAAAATTTAATTTATCGAAAATTTCTTTTGCTAAATTAAATGTTTTAAAAAGTTTTAAATTTTCGGGTTTTTTACAAAGTATAAGAAAAGCTTTGGGAGAATTTGGAATTTTTTGGAAAAAGTGAAAATTTTTCAATTGACGATAAAAAGGAATTAAAATTTAAAATTTGACGGCCAAAAAATGATATTTTCTAAACTTTAAGCCTATTTTTTTAAAAAATTAAAAAATTTTTCTTTTTCAATTAATTTTATCATTTTTTTTTTTTAAAAAAGGGAAAACGAAAAGGTTAATTTTTTGATAAAATTTTTTTAAAAAATTTCTGCCAATAGGGGTTTGGATTATTTAATTATTTTTTAATTGAAACCAGCAAAATTGAT